CATACAGGTTGTAGTGAGTAGCGTCCAGATGACTTGTGATCCATCCGATTTCTCTAGTACGTTAGAGCTGAATAAATCAAATCATCCGGAAGTAAATAAGAAATCCACAGTTAGGAGAGCTGGATAACAAATATTTTGTGTTGCAGTTCATATGAAACATGCCATGCTACACCTCGAGATGCGATTGTTATTGTATCGACTGATCCACCATATTAGACGTGAGAGTGAGAGGGCTGGACAAAGTCGAGGAGTCACCCAACCTTAACTGAGTTTTGAGTAACGCGGGTCTGTTGACCATCCCTTGCGGCAATCGCAGGAATCTGCTTACTATAAAAAAGGTTCATAATTTGGTGCCTTACGATTGAACTTGAACTTGAACTTGAACTTGAACTTTATTTTTATTTAGACACGGTAAATCTATCAGATAAAATAATAATATTATTACAATCTATTATTACAGTTACAATCTATTTTAATCTATATAAACATGATCTAAAATTTAAAAGTAAAATAGAAAAAAATAAAGAAATTCTGCTTTACATAGATGCCGTGTGTGTTTTGTCGATTCAGAGGAAGAAATTGCGACAACCATTTCGGAAGGATTGAAGTGATTTTGCTTGCCGCAATTCAGGGGTATCGCCTCGGGCAACTCTTACGCTTCTTTCGTGCTCTCCAAACTTCCCGCGTGCTCCATAACTCGATAGTGCACGCTAAAGCATGAACCAATTGTTAAATATTCCTCCCAGCAGTCATTTCGCGTAAACATCCGCAAGAGACTGGATTCTAGTTTATAACAAACATGGCGGAACTTGAAATAAGAAAGGTTACTTTTTCTTACGCTAAAACATTCTTCCTGATTGCACGGCTCAGTTGCTGAGCGATGTAAAAGCCTACCAAGAACTTCTATAAGAACTCCTTTTCTTTGCAATTAGGGTTTGTGAATTCTTGAAACGTGTTCAGAGTTGGCGAAAATGTCTCTTGTTGCCTATGGGAGCAGCGGTGATGAAGAGAGCGATGAAGAAGTACAAAACAATCAAGATGATGTAAAAAGTCCTTCTCTCATCGTCGAAAAAAGGGATCCCGGTAGAGGGAAGGGTATGGTTCTTCCTAACCCGACGCAAGAGAGGAATATCTCGAATTCTTCTACCAGTTTAAGTGGGAAAACTCGTTTATCTTCCTTTCTGCCAAAGCCTAAAAATGCGAGCAACCTCGAGCGAGAAGGTGTCGACAGCCACGGTTTCTCTGATAATAAGAACCTTCCTATTAGCTTGGAGGGGACGCTGGATGATGAAGAAATTCTGGAAATCGAAGAAGAGTATGAGCCAATTGCAAAAAGAGCAAAGAAGGTTGACAGTGCCGTTGGAGGTGGTGAGAAGCTGAGGTCTGTGGGCAGCCTATTCTCTCTTTTACCTGCACCTTGGAAAGCAGACAGCACCTGGCAAACTAAAAAGAAGGACAGTAAAGCACCTGTGGCTGAGGATAAAAAGTTAAAGCAAACAGTCAAAATTTCTATCCCTACTGCACCAAAGGTAATTACAATAAACACCTAGCAGTGCTCTCCAGATGCACCATCAATGGACCTTCTGGCTAGCTGCCCGTTTCTGAAGTGTCGGCTACATTGATAGGACAAAGCAGCTCAATACCTGTCTTGATTTGATATGAATATTGACCCATGTAAGCTAGTGTTTTCAATGGTTGTCAGAGTTATTGCTAAGTGCCGGCTGCCAGCGAAATTCAACAGCTGAAAAAGTAGTCATCGCCAGCTGGATTTTTGGCTGGTAATCACTTGATAAGCACAATAGGCACTTTTGAGGTTACACACTTACAATTGTTCACCACCGTTTAGCCACCTTACTTGAAATTTCAGCGGACATTGTAATTTCTCAGCTACAACCCTGGGCTGTCTTGTGAAAAAGTACTTTGGAGGACAGTGATCTTCCATTGTAGTGTTATTCATTGTTGCACGGCCAAAAGTAGGGTCTACACTGTGGCTTGCAATGTTCTCCTTTTCAGACAGTAACTGTCAAAAATTTACCACCCATATGACTTGAAGTTCTTGAAAATTCAACAGGTAAAAGGACTGCTCCATCAATTTGAAAATTTATCTTACCAGTTGTGCATAAAGTAAGGGAAAACACTAAGCTTGCCGGCAAAGAAATGTTTTAGCTGCAACATATCACTTGCTAACATACATGTATGTATAGTTGTGGGATATTTGGTCTCCTAATGCTTAGCGCACTGGACTGCAGCTCAAAAGTTCAGGGCTGAAGCATTGGTCCAGTCATTTTATTATGTTTCTGGGTAAAGATGCTCAACTCTTACTATCTCTCCAACTAGAAGTTTTAAAATATGTGCAAAAGAATTGTCAGAGGAATCTAATGAGATCCAAGGGGTTAAACTATGGCAAAATTAGTTAATTTCCTTTAGTATGATACAATTTTTAACACATTGTGTGTAGACTTGAAGACTGCATGGCAAGAATGTAATTGTGATACCAGGGCTTGACACAAACAGTGGCCAACTAGCCACAGACTAGTAGAAATTCAGTTTTGGCAAGTGATTTTTTTATTTTCACTTGCCAGTTTGGCTAGTAAACAAACTGAAATTGTCGCAACATCTAAGATGTCACTAGCCGTGTGGGTAGTGAGTTAAAAAGTTAGTGTCAAGCCCTGATACACATCTCAAGTTGGAGCATGGTATGGGAGAGAGACTCATGATGTACCCTGCAAAAAGTATTTTAGCATCCCCTCAGGATTCACATATTTGTTGAACACCTCTTAATCATAATTTAACAGACATATGAAAAGGAGTCTCCCCTTGTAGGGTAGGAGATCATCATTGATACAAGTTAAAACAAAAAGCAATAAAGGGATGACATTGATCAGCTATTCAGACAACATTTAATGAACATTTCCTTTCAGAATGATTCTGATGAGGAAGATGATATGCCAGCAGTAAAGAAAGTTGGGCCATCAAAGGTAGTGCACAGTTGTCCATTTATATTAATTTGTGAAAATGCATGTATGCTTGGAAAAAGGTGCAAGAGGTACACCCAGTAGATTGCAGAGGAGTGGATTAATGTTGTTTTCTCTTTGATTAAAGTTTTGTTTACTTTGTGGAAACTTTTGACAGTGTATTCCAGCTGGTTTATTTACTTTTATTTTCACTTATTTTTATCACTTTTGAGGGAGGATCAGGTCTCAAAGCACTTCTTCCCAAACCCAAGCATAGTATCACCAGGAAGGCAGATAACCCAAACAAACCTGCAGTAAAATTAGCAAGCAGGCCATTGATACCACACACATTGACGAAGAAACCAACCCCAGCACTGGAGAAGACACAAAAACCTCTCAAGAGGAAACAAGATGAAGAAACTGGCAGTGACGATGAAGATGAGCCTTTTAGCTTTTTTACATTCGATGACAAAATTGAGATCAAAACGGATGAAAAAGTACAAACTTTTCAGAGTGAGGATACTGAGTCAAAGACATGTTCCAATGTTGCAGCAGTAGAAAGACCAAATCCTCTTTTGTTATCACTGTCACAAGATCAGATACCATCAAGTAAAAACATTTCTCAAAGCAGAGCAAAGCATGTGGATGAAGCATCACATCCTGTGGTAGATGATACAAATACCTGGGCAACTTTCTCTAGTGAGGGGGTCCCTTCACAGGAGGAACTTGAAACTAAGACATATTATTATGAGCCACAAAGTGGGCAGAGCCAGGAATATGGAGGATATTCTGCTGTTGGTGATAGTTATTATGTGAGTATAAATACTAACGTAAATGCAAACTTGTGAATGTTAAAGCGAAATTACAATGTAAATATGAGGTAGAACATTTTCCATCAGTTTGATTTGAAACTCTGTCTGTCTCCTTTCCCAAGCCATTTATAATCGGAGCTGTAAAATTAACCCTTAAACTCCCATGAGTGACCAAGACAGAATTTCTCCTTACAATATCAATACAATGTCAAGCAGACAAGTCAAGGGAATAAAGAAAGCTATCATGAGGAGAATATTACTTGGTGCGATAGCAAACTCTTCAAACCTACATGTACAGCAGGGCTCCACACTAACTTTTCAACTTACTAGCCATATAGCTAGTGACATCTTGGATG